AGATTATCAGCTGCGCCGTTCCTTGGATCAGAGCTGTTCCAACTGTGGCCGGCCCTGCAGCCTATTGAGGCTCTGTGGCAAACAAAGACAATAACGGAAGCCGCATCTTGTTTTAACTCTTTTCGGAGACAAGGGAGAAACAACGCCATAGGAACATTGGGTGCTTGATCCTTTGCCATGCTCTGCAGCAGCTTTTGAGTTTCTGACCAACAAGCGGAAGTCGGCCTCTTATGAAAAAACGTTTCAGGACTCTCTGTAGCGGTTCGACTCACCAAGGCAATCCCAGGCCAACTGATCGAAGTGGCGACGCTTTCCTACAGCTGGGATCTTAGAGGTTCAGCTTGTGGCAATGACCCTGACCTTACCCCTTTGGGCTACAAAAAGCCGCCGCCCTTCGAGAATCCCTTCTTCAAGCGATCGCTGTGGTGGCTCGCAAAAACAATCTGGACCCTTGATGCCGTTTGTTGCCCTGGAAGTGAAAAGGGAACGCCAAGACACCTGACCGCGTACTCCAAGATGCCTGCCCAGGCCCATGCCAAGCGCAGCTCAGCCTTGGCTTCTGATTCTGGCTTCGCTCTTAGGGGTGCTCATGACCAGCGCACCAACAGGCACCTCGGAACCATGCGGAACCTCAAGAAAAAAAGGCTCCACCCCCAAGCCAAGGGTGGCCCTTTTCTTGCCCCTTGCAAACAACAAGGAAAATATTTGTTTTCCCCTCAAAACAACTCATTTGATTTATTTCTTATCAGCAGCCATCGCCTGTTGACAGGTACTCACCCATTGCCCCCAATCTGCTCTTTGAGTGACGAGGAGCCGTTTGAGCAGCTGGCCAGCAGCACCTCTCAGCAGCTTCCTAGTCGAAAGAAGCCGGCTAAGCGAAAGCAACCCAAATCCCTTGCTCCGCTTGATGTAGATGCCCTTCGCCATCGGGTGGGGAGGAGATGCAACTGCAAAAGCGATTGCTTGGGGCCTTTCCGTTTGAGGGACCAATTTGAGAGGTGGATCGGGGCCCGCAAAGAGTTTCACAAGCTCACCAAGTTGGAGCAGGACAAGTACGCAGGAGGCTCAGGTTCCTCATGTTAAGCAACATCACGTTGTCCCATATGCCAAGCGTCCATGACACCAGCCGTCAGGTGTTCCAGTTGCTCCAGCGCCAGGAGAGCGCCTGCCGTGGTGTGACTCACATCTTGTTTCTCGGCGAGCAAGTGTGCAACCGGGGGTTTCTGGCCCTGATGGGGGTTGGTAAGCAACGCTTTGCCAAAATGCACAAAGCGGTGGCCACTGGTTCTGAGCAGTGCCCGTTTGACCTTCGATGTGTTCCTCGTGCAAGGGGGCCGGCAAGCGACAAGCGACAAAAGGTGCACGATTTTCTGATGTTCCTCTATGAAACGGCAGCAGAGTCCTTACCAGACAACATGAACTCCAACAAGCGGCCGCGTCAAGCCTCCAGAAAAATTGACCCTGTCAACCTCGACCGGAGCAAGGTCCGACACTTGCCGCCGGGCACCTATCACGACTATTTGAGACTTCTCCGGGCTCAGAACCCTACAGAAAAGTTCAGCTACAAATTGTTCGCTGATGTCCCTCGCCTAGTATTTGGCAACGAGTTTGTTCTTGATTGTTTCGACTTTTGAGTGTTTGCTTTCATGCGACGATGGCTTCCTTAGGTATGGATGGATTCCTTCATGGATCTGCTCAGGATTCGAACCTCAACCCACCACAGCAAGTGCACGACGTGTATAAAACACCGTGTCATCATTCGACGCACTGGGCATACCATGTCAGCACGCCTTGCACAGCTTCAGCTATTCCGGCAACATCTAAGACGTCAGTATGCTGACCGCCAGGTCTATTGGAAATGCAGGAGTCTAAGCCGCCTCGGGGCCATCACAAAGGTGCCACACGAGATCACTATCATCATCGATAGTTTTGATCAGGCGAAGCACAGCTGGCCAAAGTCACAGACCCTTCAAGCAAAAGAGTTCTCGGCTGTGCACCGGCCGCGACTGGCTTCGACAACAATTATCGTTCATGGATACTATGTACTCACATCGCTTTCGCCGCCGAACGTGAGTTGCAACAGTTCGCGAAGCGCCGAGTTAATAGGTTACACCCTTGGGAGGCTCCACTCGCTTGGCTTGGACCTTCGTATGTCGCATGTCGGGGTCCAAGCCGACAATTGCTCCAAGGAGGGCAAGAACAACTGCTGTCTGCAGCTGCTTGCCTCACTAGTTGCAACGCACCGAATACGCTCAGCCAGTTTATCATGCCTGACCAGTGGCCATAGCCATGAAGATATCGATGCTTATTTCAGTGTGGTGTCGAACTGGTTACAGCGATATCCTGTTCTAGAGGATCCGGACAGCTTCAAACAGGCAATGGAAGAGTTTCTTCAGCAACCTCATGTCCGGGAACATGAGCCACACCGTGAAGTCAAGATTGTTGCTCGATATCGAGACTGGTTCCTTGGCTTTTCTCCTGGTGTGTTTTGCAACGCTACCGCTTGATCACACGTTATGCCTTTGACCGCTGCTCCAAGGAAACACTTCCTCGCGGGCGTGTTCCAGAACTGTCACCTGAAAGGAATCGGAGGGCCTGGAGCCCCACACTTGATGAAGCTGCAACGCTTCTGTGACTCAGGACCCCGTTGCGCATTTGAGTGGCCAATCGTTTTGCCTCGCCCTGGTCCTTCACTTGTTTGCAGCGTAGGTCTCCAACGCGAACACATCACCGACAATTTCTGGAGCAGGAAGGACGTTCCCTGGCACCAGTCTGATGTCATCTTGAGGCCCTGTTAAATTGCCTGCGTCTTAGTCTTGCCCTGTGTTGTTGCAGGTCGAAGCAGTTCATGTCCGATCCCGAGTGGAAGCTACAATGCTTTCGATATCTTCCTGCAGAAACCGTGCAGTCTGTGGGCTGCGCCGCCCCGCCAGGCCGGACGTTCTAGTTGTTGTTCTCTTGATTGATGTTTTGCAAGCTGATGCCAGTCTACGTGCAAGAAGAGCACAACAGCGAGTCTGAAGAGAATAAAAACTATGTGAAGCTGGCTGCGTTGTTGCGTCGTATCCTCATGTCCGGAGTGCGGCGTGTGACATTCTTCCCATTTCTTGTTCCGAGGCCAAGAGCCGTTCCGTCTGCACAGGGCAGCGAAATCCATCGAACTCTTGGCCGAGGGCAGAAATCTGAACACGCCCTTGCTAGACGTGTCCTGGCGCGGTCCTTATTTCGGCCTTGCTTGGCTTGCTTCCCTGCCAAAGCCCTAGGGCGCTACTTGCTCCTGGCCCTGCAGTTGGTGCTGGGGTTGCTGGAGAAGGGCCCGTGGCCGCCCAATCCTTTGAAGCTGCGCCGCCCTCATGCAGTTCCTTGTATGTCGCCCAGTTACCTTGCCACATGAGGCGCCGAACAACCTGGCCTTGCTCACTGACAAGCCAAAAGGACAAGCTTTTGCCCGCTACAAGCGCTCGAAAGAGAGCCTTGAACTGTACAGCGATGCTGCCCGACTCTGGGCGCAGGGGGTTGAAATCCAACGTGCCATTAGGATTTCCAGGGCTGCTCATGATGCTGCGGCGCTCGCTCGCCGCTGATCATTTCAAAGGGGGAAAAGAGTTTGGTCTGGACCTAGAGTTTGTGAACGGTCTCTCAAATTCAGAAGCAGGATTGTGCGGCATTTGTTCATTACAAGCCTTGTTTGAGAGGGCTTGAACTTATTCCTTTAGAGTGACTGGTTCAGGCAGTTGAGAAACAACAAAGCAGGCAATGCCCACAACTGCGCTTCTTCTTTTGGGGGGGCTTGTGTGAGTTTGAGAAGCGCTCGGTTTCCCTGTGAGTCCATTTGTGCAGCTCCTACTCGGCTCAACTTGGCAACCAAAAACAAACCACAGGTTGTGAATTGTGGGGGTGGATGACGGCACGAAACCTACAAGAAAGTTTGATTTCCATCAGCCGGAAAAAAAACAGCCCTTGTTCTTGAAGATTTTGCGCAAACTAAAGGGTTTCGTGCTTGGGGAGGCTGCCCTTGGTCACAAAAAGGAGCTCCCCCCCCTAGCGCTTTTTGAGAGCAAATGGCCTTTCACAAAATGGAGGAACAGAAGTGACGCCTTTTCACAAGCCGTATCCCCTTCCTTGTTTTTCCAAGCAGGTTATACTACTCAGCTCTCGGGTCTTGGAGGGGTTGCTGGGGCAGGGTGCCATTTGTGAAGGGGTGGGGTCTCTCCCGGCACAAATCAAGGGTCGGTCAACCGAACTCGGCACAAAACCAAGATGTCGAGGGTGGGGCTCGGCACAAAATCCAGATCTTGAGGGTGGGGCTCGGCACAAATCGTTGGGGCGACAACCCAGCTCGGCACAAAATGGGGCCTGGTCAGCCAGGCCTGGCAGCGTGGTCCCGCCCGCAAGGCCAGTCCGCCACCCAGCGCAGCGCGAGTGGCCAGCCTGGTTTGGCAGGACATGCCCCCTCGCAAGAGGATCTCTTCGGGGCCGACGCCCAATGGAAAGAGGGATAAGAAAAACGAGTTGCCGAGCGTGCCCCCGGATGTGCTCTGCATGCCCCACATGAAAGCCTTTGAGGAATGGGCGTCACTTTGATGCACATTCAGTGGCAATCCCAATCAACTTGGTTCCGAAGCGAAATGGCTCCGTAGCTAAGGGATAAGGTTTTGACCAGCAGCACTCCAACCTTCGACCTTTACCTCAGCAACGTGTTGGCTGACAAGGACTGTGTGTCAACAAGTTTCGTCATCAACCTTGACTCCAAACATGTCAGGATGAGGCTCTGAAGTTCTACACCTGGATCGAAAACACGTTTCCGGCTGACCCCAGCTTGCCCGCTCCCCAGCAAACAAGATCATGCACTCATGGCCTTTTACGTTGTTCTCCCAGGACCTATGTCACCCCTGGCGGCTTGCACACACCCGGAGCACACCACCTCAGACCTTGGATGCTTCCTCACCGAAGCGATTTCGGACTTCGTGGAACGACCGACCCAGCCAAAATCTTAGCTAATGGATTTCTGTCGCTGGCCACACGCTTCAAAACAAGCAAGCCGTGCGCAGGAAGTGCAGCGCCTCTTGGCGCAGCTGATTGCCCACAAAGGGTTCGTGACAAACCCGGACACACCCGGTGCGGAGAAACTCTGCGTGGCAGCTGTTTCTGATGCCTGGCTGTTGTCGCCGCGGGCAAAATTCGACCCCGTTGACGGGGACTGCTCGCTCTTGGAGCCTCAGTGCACCTTCGTGGTCAAGGGGTTCAACAGAGCATCATGCGCCCTAGCTGTCCTTCGGTGCGCATTTGAGTGCCCTGACTTTCTCGAGGCAGGGCTTGTCAGCGTGCTTGAAACGAAACGCGTTGGCGTTCACCGCAGGAGCTTCCTTCGGATGTTGCAAAGAAGCCCGGCTTTATCCGGATTGCTGTTTGATTGCGCTTTGATTGGCCGGTTGAACATCTCGCCTTGTCGTGTCTAAGGACATTCGAAGTGGTGTATGCGACGGCAGTGGACAGCGATGTCACCAAGGTTGTGAGCACCAATAGAGGCCACCTTCTTTCGCTCGACGGTTTTGTTCCACGTTGCTGAATCAGCCACGCAGCTGACAGGCATAACCCTTGGGAGTGCCACAATCAGACGGCGTCCAAATTGCTTCAACTTGCTTCACCAGCTTCAGTTCATGGCGCGCGGAGGGGTGCAGGGCGACGCTTCCGTTCAGGCGCTCCAGCAGTACACCAACGCCAGCAGTTTTGCGGCGGCAATGCAAATTGGGCGGTTTGAGGCCCAAGCAGCCATCAACCTCTTGAGGAATGTGAGCCAGCCCACCCGCGAAAAGCTCACCGAGTTGGTGCGTGAGCACAGCATGCAGAAGTTTATCACGCACGAGGCGATCGCGCACGGGGTGTTCAATGAAGTTTACACTTCAGCATCAGGCCCACTGGCACCATGGGAGCGGCACCTTTCGAACACACCCGAGCTTCTTAGATTGTTGACTGCCAGAATGGGCCAAGACTTCCTTTCCCTCAACCCCAAAATGCGCAAGGCTTGGAACCAGAAGGAGTTGGACCTTTGTCTGCCTATAGTCTTTGTGGCGGGTTGGGTTAAGGGTGGACCCCTTGCAACTGAAAGCCGCTTTGTTTTTAGTATCGTGATTCACCCAGCAAAGCAAGTTGCGTCGGTCGGGGATGAAGGTATCAAAGCAGCTCAGTCATCAGCTCTTGTTTTGACAGGGTGCCTTGTTTGAGGAGAAGCGTCATTTATTTAGTGTGCCTTTTTTTGGGACTTCTATGGGGCGCCAACCAACAACTAAGGAGAATCTTCATCGCGTGTGCGGTGGCTATCAGGCCTGCATGGCGCAGCTCGCCGCCTCCGTTCCTGAGAGCTTTCTGCAGAACGTGACAGCAGACATCGAGAAGGTGTTGCTTTGGTCTGCAATTGGCTCCACACGACGGGAAACATTGACACTTAGTTTGGTTGGGGCCAACCATTTGCATCAGTATTGCTTTGGATGAAACGTGTGCGTCAATCCTGACTACTTCGGCTTCAATCGACCCAGAAATGTGCTTTGGTGATTGTGTTGTTCCTGTTTCGTACTACTTGTGCCGCAAACCGGCTAAGACCCCTAGAAGTTGGAACTGTTGTGTTTACCGGTTACATGTTGAGTCTTCTGTGAACTGTTGTGTTCAACAACCCTTCAAACCATTCCCTAAAGCATATCAAAGCCCTGGGCGGGGGAGTGGTGCGCAAATCCTCGCTTCTTGGTCGAAACATGTTGGTGTCCGGGCCACTTTTGGCTGCAAAATTATCGCAAAACGACGCAACATCGGGTCAACTGGCATGGACTGCTGGCATGCCCTGAGACGACACCACACACACACAGTGTCAAGGGACGTGCAATGATGTCAGATTTTGCTGGCTCATACCAAACTACCTCACATTAGTTTGTCAGCGGTTCGTGCTAGAACGCCCAGCTTTTTCCAACGGCACCCATTACCAACAACCCCCAGACATTTGTGGGCGCTTGAAGTTTCAAGCTCGGAAACACGTTAGACACGGACATCAAACTCGGTCTGGAATCTTACATACCATGTGCACCAACCCCAATTTCGAAATCAGTGAAACACATGTCAGCAATATACGTGCATATACATGTTGGACCATGCGGAACATGTGCATCGGTTTTCCGTTTGGATTCAAATGAATACTCACAAGTGTCTTGATCGGGAGCCACGTGCGTCATTTGCAGCATTCACGCAAACCGCGCGTAACCATCTTGTGCATCACTCTAGAATTGGAAACACCCGTTTTGAACAATCTCGCGACTCAGTCAGGTTTTTGCTTCGGCACGGGGATGCGGAGATTACGGTGATGCTGGAATCTTCTGTGCCCCCAGCGGACCTGGGTAAGGTCACCATCTTTGCCACACAGATCGCCAAGTACCAGCAACAGGCTCGTTTTTGAATGGGCTTTTTGATACTGGCCATAACGAGTCCGATGTTTCTTCATTTGGTTTTTGAACGGGTCTTTTGCACGTTTTGTTTAACGGGTCTTTTTCGAACGGGGGTGTTTCGAACGTTTGTCTGAATGCTTTTTGAAAGGGTTTTGTATGGTTTTGTTTCACGGGTTGCGCCTGCCAAGCACCTTGAAGGTTGATGAGAGCAAAGTCACCGAGGCAGCCCAGCGCCCCAGCAGCAACCAGCGTCTTGTCCAGGCAGATTCGGCGGCGCTGACCTACCAAGGCTCTCGGCGCAGCTGCAACAAACAACGTTCAAGCAGCTGGAGCTGAGTGTGTCCACCGACATGGACAAGTTGAACAAATGGGCCGCGGACTTCAACGTCCACTCAAGTCAACAGGCACGATGTTAATCACCATCAAAATTGAAGCATATTCCGGTTCAATGATCAGGCCAACGTTTGTTAAACCAAGTGGAGTTTGCTCTGAGGGCGATCTGGATATCAAGTATCTGGCGAGCCGCTTTCAGAGGGGCAAGGAGGCATGCGACAAGTTCATGCAGGACAAACACCAGTTCCATCTCTTGTCAACGCTGAACGGCCTCCACGGTGAAGTGGTTCGCAAGCAAGCCGAGCTCGGCTCATCCACGTTCCTTGGCTGGGCCAAGGCTGAGAGTGACCCTGTTCGGTTTCTCACACTTGTTCGGTTTCCCAGGCTTACCATCATCATCGTTGACCTGACCCTGTGGCCAAACCGACTCTTGATAGACTTAGTTCCGATTTCGTGATGGGCTCTATTTACTTGAGTTTATTGTTCCATTGTCTAAGGACTGTTGGCAGTGGACGAATGCATGAGCCTTATCCAGGCAGTGTGCAGTGGCAACGCCTCTACAGTGGCCTTTGTCATGATGCCCCAGTGGCACTCCAGCACAAGCAGGAGCACAACTGTGAAGAACAGGCGGTTGGTTGAGGACAAGCTTATGGGGACTCTTGGTTGAAGCCCTTCTCACACCCAATCTTATCCATCCCCAAACCGGCCAACCTCCAAAGTTGAGCCCAGTCAGACTCCAACCCTATCAAACTCCAACCCTATCAAACTCCAACCCTACCAAACTCCAGCCCTAACTCCAACCCGACCAAACTCCAACCCTAACTCCAATCCTGCCAAACTCCGGCCTAGCAAGCTCCACCCCTCTCAACCCGCAGCCGCCTAAAATCCAACCCATCAAATTACAACCCCAATCCAGTCAAGCTCCAACCCTACCAAGCTGCAACCCTATCCAACCTACCAAGCCCACAGACTCCAGCCCTACCAAGGCCCAACCCTATCCAACTTATTGAGCTCCAACCCCCGTGTGGATCAAGCCATCAAACTCCGACCATATCCAACTCCAAATCCCCAGTCTCACTGGTTCCAGCCCGATCAAGCCCCAACCCCGTCGCGACCCTCCCTTTCAAGACGCAACCCTATCACGCTACAACCTTGCCAACTTCCAACCCTAGCAAACTTCACACCTTCAACTCTGTCAAACTTTAGCCCTGTCACATCCTGGGTCCAAAACAATTCGTGTGACATGCTCGACAAGCTCAACCCTATCAGACTCAAACCTCATCAAGCTTTAAACCCCGTCAAAATGCCGCTGCTTGTCTCAGGATTGGTGACCTGTATGAGATCTCGGTTACCTTCAACACTTCGGACCATGCTGGCGACAGAAGGAAGACATCGCAACAGTGCGCCGTAGCTTTTAATCATTGAACTTCTCCCTGCACCTTGCCAACAATGGTTCACATGTGTTTTTCAATTGAGGTCTCGGGACCATGGGCGCCACGCAGAACACCGCGCCTTTTGCAAAGTCGAGGGCGCTGCTCGGCAACATTGCAGGAGTTCCGCGCGCTCGCGTAGTCGATCTCCAAAACCCAGAGGCGGACAAGCCACTGGCTCCTCATTGGCGGGCGCTTTGGCAAAACAGGTTTTGTTGACCCGTTGCAAAATCCACTCAAAATGGTTCTTGGACAACTTGCTCCCGTTTTTGAGAACTCTTGATTTCAGGTGCAACAACGTGGGGTGGCAGGTTGCCGCGCAATCTTGGATGGGCTGCTTGAAGGGATGGACATTCAGGAGAACCAGCCGCTTCTCATAGTGGACGCCATGCCAAACAGGTTTCTTAGTTCACTATCTAGTGTCGGGCATCCATGCACGCTTGAATGTGTTGCCAACGGAAACAAAGGTTCCATGAGTGGAGTTCTGCTTCGTGGGAACTTCAGCTGAACAAGCTGCAGGGGGGCACCGAGACCACACACTGCCAAAAGATGCAGACATATTTCATGGCTGTCTTCCATGTGGATGACTCCGCGCGCTGCGATGCAGTGCGGGCAACGATGAATGGCCGGATTTTATCCCAATGGTGGGATTCCTCTTCGGAAGCCGGACCGGCGTCGCGGCCGGAAAGCCAATTCTCTGTGCCCCTGCCATCCTTGGAAGTGGTGTCGGTGGCCAATGGCCAAGCTCAGTCCCTTAGACCCGAACAATCCTTTGTAGGATTGCAGAGTTTGAATCTCATTCAAAATTCGTACGTCCGGGTTGCAAGCCTAATTGCTTGCTAGTGTGAGGCTACCCGACCTCGTGAAGCAGAAGTACGCATCAACCCACAGCTCTGCGTTGGCAGACATGGAGGAATCGTTTGGCAAGAACACCGCGCTGGCTACTGCCCTCAAGTTCAAGGAAGGCGCTCGCCCAACCACTCAGGTTTCCGCTGGGTCTGGCCCAACACCGCCCAGGCCGGCACGCACATCGGCGAGCCCAGACTGGGGCGACGCTCACCCCCCCAACACCGCAAGAGTTGGGACGTTCTCCCACGTGACCCTGAACGACTTCGAGACCAACAACACGCGCCTTGCTTTTTCGTGGGGGTTCTTCTCCTTTTTTTTTTGCAAACCACATGCACCTACACCACAATCCCTACTTCTTTTCCCACTGCCAAGCTCTGCCATCGGTTTTGGAGCTCCTAGTACCCAAGGAAACTGCCTGTGCCAATTGTCCAAATATCACACGTTTCAATTTTTAGACCATTAGGCCGCACGTTTTTCAACCGAGGGTGGCCAACTCCTGCACCATCGCCCGATGCACTTCTTTGACCGTGGCCCTCACTACATCAGGGGACCTGTGGATCCTGAACAAGTCGACCGCCGAGCAAACGCTCACTGCTGGGGAACTCTTTGGGTTCAATTTTGGGGCCTTCGCCGATATGCCATCAGGCCCGGGTCCCTTGTGCCAAGTTCCGTTTGCAAAGCAGCAGCTCCCTCCTCGCGCCAGGAACGGTGGGCCAGTCGCAGGACCACATTCCTTGGCTGATCGTGGACGACATGCAGCTGGTGTCCCTACTCCCAGGGGTTGGCGGAAGTGGCACCAAAGACATGCTGACTGTGGCAGATGTGATGTGCCGAATCACGCGCGAAAGGGGGGTCACGGAAAGCAAGGTGGTTGATCATGACCTGGATGCTAAAAAAACTGTCGCTTGCCAAGTGCTTTGTCGCTTTTGCAAACTGGTTTCGGCACGAGGGTGCCATTTCATTGTCAATGACAATTGTGTTGATCGAAGTTTGGGCTCTGCAGAAAACCAATTCGTACTTCAACGTTCCTTACTCAACTCAAAACCATCATGGCCGTCGAGCCCCATTAACTTTGTATTTTGTTTTTCGTTTTTCAGGCTGACACCGACGGAACAAGTCGGCCCATGAGCTTCCGGTATACCGTGAAGCCTCGCATGAAAGTGAACGCCTTCAAGCCCAAGGAGCTCACCGCCGAGGAAAAGGGCGCTGGCGAACTGCGGGCCTCGCAGTTCGGGGCTTTGTGGTGCAACAAGTTTGCCAGCATCCCGAAAAACAAGGATTGTGGCATCATCTGGGAGGCACGGGGTTGGGTTGCTCTCTCAATTTGTTAGGTCGCGTGATCTTTTTGAAGCATCATTGAATCAAGAATCGGCCAAGATGGCCCCGCAACAGTTTTGTAAAATACTTGTCGCCCCAAACAGTTTGATGGCAACCGTTTTCAATTGCCTAACGTTCCCAGAAGCGTTTTTTGCCAGTGTGGCAAGCAGCTTGAATAAGATTGCTGGTTTTCCCACAAAGTATGAGCGCTTAGGGTTTGCTTCCAAATCACATGTTGCAACAGTTTGGGCTTTGACCCCTATGGCACCACGACAGGTGAAGGTGGGTGAAGAAGTTCCGGCAACCGTTGCTCCAACCAAGCCGAAGTTTTGTCTTCTCTGCAAGGCAGTGCTGAAGGTGGCAAGTGCCATCAAGATTACTTAGCAGGCGCACGCATGCGCAAGTAGGATTTGTGTGTGTGCGCAAGGGAGCATGACAATGAGTCAACATGCATCGCATGAGAGCCGGACTTGACCGACACACACATTTCATATGATCATGCGGGTGGTTCCTGGGAGTCACACACACACCAAGTGTCCGTGCCTGACACACGCACCAACGCAGCTTCGGAAAACAATTGTGAGACATGTGGCAACCTGACACTCAAAGCTTGTTTTTGAGGGTCTGTGGATTCATAGCTTGACAATCTCCCATTTGAGGGCTTGTTTCAAAACGTTGGGTTTGAAAGCTTGCTTCAACGACTCAAACTGCTCCCTCAAAGATTTGTGGATCAGGACTTGATGTGAGGGTTGATGAGGGTTTTGGCTCGTGAACACTTCGCAGGTGCCATGGTTTTGCCGGCCATCACGGCCCTTTCTGATGATGAGCCAACTGACCCTCCGGAACCGAAAGCAAAGGCGAAGACTAAGCCCAAAGCCAGACCCAAAGTGGCAGCCGAACCAACAGACCCTGAGCCACACCACCCTCAGCCAAAGCCAAAGCCAAAGCGAAAAGCGCAGGCGAAGAGTTCTAAGCCAAAGGCGAAGGCGAAAACCAAAGCCGTTGCCAAGAAGCCCGCCGCCGCGGAAGATGATGATGGCGCCAGCGCGCCCAGCATGAAACGACCGGCGGCCGCGGTCACAGATGACCATGTCAAAGTTTCTAAGTACAAATACAAGGCCACTGGAAAATGGGGCTTCAAGGTCAATGGCCGGGAGGTGATGGGTGCTTCTTGGTGCTACTTATGTTTATTGATTTTCTGATTTTCGTTTATGTTTTTCACCCTGAGGTTAAGCCAATGGAAGGCATCGATGATGCAACACTGGAAACGGTTGCTGCAACTTGCCCTGCAAACCGGGTCCCGAAGTGGTCCAAAGCAAGGCACTATGAGTTGGTCTCAATGCGAAAATGCGTGTTTTGCTAAGGAAGCGGTTCGATGCGAACTCATCAAGACAAAGGGTGATACTTCCGCTGCTTTGACCTTGAGAGCAGCTGGGCCGATCAATCATGTCAAGCTTCCACACCCCCGAACAAGATTCAGTTTAAACCGGCTATGTGGAAACCCTGTTTGCGTTGCCTCTTTTTTGAACACAATTTACAGCAAAGGGTCTAGGATGGTCTAGGGTTCAAACTCAAATCCCACATCAAACCCCACCTGGCTCAAACTGCGACATGGGAGTTTTAACCAAGTTCGAACCTTTGAGGAGCGACCTGCCCATGTCCACTATGTTTCCCATGTTGAGATTAAACGATCGTTCCGGAATTTGTGCTCCACTTTCTTTTGAGCGAAGCTAAAACATGTTTTTTTCGCAGAAACCAAGCCCTTCGTGATCAAAGCAAGGCCTTGCTTGATTCTGGTCCAAGTTGTCAAAAAGAGGACTTGTTTGAGGAAACATTTATCCGGGGCAGGGGGGGGGCCATATTTAAACATGGACTTGTAACTTGTGGCTCAAGGGTTAAGAGGGTTCAACAGGGTTTCACTCGTTGCTGACACCCTCAGGATTGCATGGTGGAGCAGGCCATGAAAAAATCAACAGGGGCAAATGCTGAAGCCCGTGATGTGGAGGGCGAAGATGCTGAGCCTCCCCAAGACCAAGAAGAAATAGAAGAGGAAACATTGGATATGGACCCTGAGGCCATGTTTTCCCAATAGTTATTGCCCTGACCCTTGCCCCACCCTTGCAGGTGGACGCGTGACAGCTAGCGAGCTTTCACAGAGCGGCTTTTGCTTAGAGCTTAGTGCCTGAGACCAGGCCGACACAAATCGGCTTGCTTCGGAAAACAAAGGTCGCGCTGATCTTGGGAGGAAACTCTGAATCTGAAAGCTTTGCTTTGAAAGGCTTCTATTCGACATGGCCACATCTTCAAATTGCGTTGCCTGCCCAGCCAGGCAGACTCAAAACCCTTTTGGCTTGTATTTTTCCCAGGCGTCCCCCCAGCTTGAAATGGTTTGCAAGGGTCCCGTCAAACTCATTCATGACACTGTTATATGTTCGTACTGCGTGTCGTCATGCCTTTGGCATTTCCGTTTGTTGGAACAGCCGTTTAAATCTGAAGACTAAGCAGTTTTGTGTCAAGGTCCCCTCCTGAAGCACCCCTGGCTATGTTAGCCCAAAACTCGGTACCAAGTGTCTATGCCAATGTTTCACGCAATATTACAAACTGCGCTGTTGTCACTTCGCCTTGGCTTTGCTGGCTGCTTGCAGCTACAGTAGCTGACAAAACTATTATTGTGTCATTGTGCTTTTTCTTTCGCGGATCGCTCAGTCACTTGCAGCTTCAGTAGCTGACAAAACTTTCAGTCACTTGCAGCTTCAGTAGCTGACAAAACTATTCTTGTGTCATGTGGCACACGTGTCTCCCAGTGTGCTAACAAGCCATGCAAAGTCAAAACCCCTGATGCAAACTAAACCCCTGAACCACAGGAACGCACGATTGGTGCGGTTCAGGACTCCGATGTGACGGATCTCCACGTGATGGCCCGGATCCAGGATCAGGAGCAGTGCCATCCCGCTGATTATGATCAGGAATGCAATCAGGTCCTCCAGGCCCCGCACTGGGACCGCGATGCTTAGTTTTCCCGTCGGGGTCAGCTCTCAGACAACCGAGGCAAATAGGTCGAACACTCGATCCAAAACGGCGCACATCGTCAGGTGAGGCGATGTGTTGATCGCAGTACTCGTCCTTGCATATGAGACACCTCACAAGTCCGTGTCTCCCCCCTCTTCCTCTGCATGCGCGGCATCTAGGAAACTGATCGCTGCACTTGAAACACGAGTTACAATCATGGTCAAAGCAGTCTTCGCAGACTGACTTGCCGCAGCTTCGGCATGGATAGCGAGGTTCCCGATGCTGTGGATGCCCGGGCTCCTCATGATCACACCTGGCCCGGTTATCAGGGGCAGCGCCGGCAGCCCGAGCAATGGCCCTCGTTCTAGAGGGATCCCTGCCGAAGATGGGGGCTGATGGTGACGGTGGGGGTGGCCCTGAAGGAGGTGGAGGTGGAGGAGGCCTAGCCGAGCTGACGGTGCGAGCATCACGAGAGGGAGAATCTCTAGGAGCCCTTCCCTGGGTTAAGGGATCAGTGTCTCCAGATTTCTCCCATGGTCCCGTTCCGGCGGTCGAAGCAGCGCCAGCACTTGAAGACCCGCAGGCAGCAAGAGGTTGCTCCCTCAACTCAGCGATCTGCATGTTGATCTCATTGACCCTCAGCACAAGCTTCATAAACTGCTCTTGCATGTCCCTCGGATTGGGGCCTAAGCTTTTGTCATGAAGGTCCTTGACGCATCTAGCAATACGGGACAATTGAAGCTTGAACTCTTCCTGTTTCTGTGAGTTCTCATTGAGAGCTCCGGACATCCTATCACTGAACTGCTTCAGGTCGGTCGCAGGAACGAGCTGCTGGATATACGTCTCGACGTTCCCACGGATGGTTCTTTCCCTTGAGATGGTTCCCTCAATGTCGATGACACTGCGAGAGTTCGCCTCAACTTCGTCCTTGATTTTCCGAACCTCAGCCTCAAGGGCCCCGATCTCAGAGAACCTAAGGAGCTGGACCTTGACGTTCTCAAGTGATTCGGCCTGCTCGCGAAGTTCAGCAGCGGATATGACGATCGAGTCAGACCTCTCATCATACATCTTGAAACGCTCATTCATCTCCTTCTCGCTTCGGGCGACCCACTCGTGGAAATCACGGAACTTGGCCTCGTGTTTTGAGAGAGTTCCGGCAACGGCAGAGAAAGATGATTCAACCTTCTTCTCGAAGGCGTCAACACGGTTATTGATCTTCTTGATCTCACCGACGCAAGCGTTGATATCATCCCTACATGAACGAATCTCAGTTCTGCATCCCTGGATTTCGGCCTTGCACCCCTTTACCTCGTTGTGGATCGCGAGAAGCAGTCGTTGAAGCTCAGATGCAACAGGATGGCCGCCACTTGTGGAAGCAGACGGAGCAGGACGACTATCAGCGTCATGATCTCCGCGCCTATTTTCTTCCCTGTCGGGAGTGCAGCCCGGAGTTCCAATTTGAAAGAATGCGGGGACGAGGGAGTTGTTGACCGGTTGATTCGAAGGAAGCCCTCCACGACCAGGAGCAACAGTGCTAAGTCCAGGTCTCCGATTCCTGGGCGTAGAGTTAATCCCGTCATCAGTCTCCTTCTCAGACATCGGGGCATTGGAGCTGAGCCCAGACCCCGCAGAGTGGATAGGAACGTCAATAGGATCGTGATGAGCTGGGGGATTAGATCGCAATCGCGAAGCAGCTTCACGTCTCTCGGGTGACTCAGAGCTCCTCTTTGTGGCTCGTGAGTCAGTGCCGGTTTGTCCCGACATGTTATCAAAAGATGACGACCCGCGAAGTTGAGCTTGATCTGGATCAGGTTGAGTGAGATCAAGCCGTTGAGCAACGTCACCAATGATTGGCTTAGGGGAAAGTACTTTGGCAACGCGGCTCGGCGGGAGCGATGTCGTTCGTCTCTCTGGTGTGACCTCGGCCTCATCGATTACATCAAGGATTCCAGGGATGGTTTCATCATCTTCATTTCCTCTCCTGGGTGGCTGATGGAAGGGGATGTCGAGGAGGTCGAAGGGAGTAGAGCCAATACCAGGTGTATCCTGCTCGGATCCATCACTGGTACGGTGGCTGGACTGCTCCTCGAGGTCGATGACGTCGGGGGCGGACTCTTTTCGAGTCTGACGCCGATTGAACGCCGCGAAGAGACCGGCATGGCTTCTTGACGAAGAGGAGGAAGGATTTGGGCCTGCTGTTTCGCGGCCCACATCCGATCGATTAGTACCTGATGTCCGATTTGGCGGATTTGAGCCCGCGTTGTAGCGGTTCGCATCCCGACCTCGGGTACCTGAGGAAAGCGGTGGATTCGGACCAGCGTTGTAGCGGTCCGCATTCCGGTCGCGGGTACCTGACAGGTGAGATGATACTGCAT